TTCGATGCTATGTCATTTTCGTATTGCCGCTGAGCCTCCCTTCTTATCTGTGCATATTTGTTTCTGACTCTTCGGCTAATCTCTTTATTTTCCTGAGTTCTCTGTCTTCTGTACCTCTTCCATTCTCTAGTACACCTAGTTTTTGCCTCCCTACACCTTTGGGTGAACCAAGGACTCGTTCTGTTCTTCCCATTATTTCTGTTTCCCTTAGGAACAAACCTCTCCTCTGCCTCCTTGCATTTTGTTGCCACATAATCCATCATTTCTTGTACTGGTTTTCCTGTCAGTTCCCTCTCCCATTGCATGTCTTGAAAGAAGTTCCTCAAGCCTGAGTAGTTACCCCTTTTGTAGTTTGGTTTTTCCCACCCTATTCCTGCTGCTCTCTCCACTTGGAGCTCAACTATGTAGTCGAAGCACAGAACCACATGATCACTAGCTCCCAGGGGACTTTCATACATGATATCCTCGATGTCAGAACTACTCAAGGTGAATACAAGGTCCAGTCTTGCTGGTTCATCCTCTCCTCTCTCTCTGGTAGTGTCTCTAACATGTTGATGCATGAGGTTTTCCAGTACCACATCCATCATCTTGGCTCTCCATGTTTAGGGACCCCCATGGGGCTCCAGGTTTTCCCAATCTCCTTGTGATTGAAATCACCCATAACTAGTAACTTTGCTCCCCCATGTGTGCTCTCCTGGCCACCTCGGCTAGTGTGTCGACCATTGCTCTGTTGCTCTCATCGTATTCTTCTCTTGGCCTCCTGCAGTTCTGTGGTGGGTTGTACATTACTGCAATTATCACCTTATGTCCCTCAGACTGGATTGTTCCTACTAAGTAGTCCCTTTTGCCCGTGCCATCCATTCCTTCCATTTTCTCAAACCCCCACTGGTTTTTAATGAGCAGTGCAACTCCTCCTCCCCCTCTCCTCCCACTGTCTTTCCTGAGGATTTGATATCCGGGTGGAAAGATTGAATCTGTTATTATTCTGGTGAGTTTTGTTTCTGTGAGTGCTATTATGTCTGCGGATGTCTCCTTGATTCTTTCGTGCCACTCCTCATACTTATTTGTTATTCCATCTGCATTTGTATACCACACCTTCAACTTCTTTTCTAAGATTGTGGTCTGGGAGGTGTATTGGGGTTGGGGAAGTGGGAGACCTGATATGGAACTATGGGTGGTTGCTGTGGGGGTGGAGTTTGTAATGCAGTGGGTGGGGGCATTGGATGTGGCATGGGTGTTTTGGTTTAGAGTGTTTGGTTGCACTGGGGTTGACCTGGTTGGGAGGCTTCTATAGGAAGTTGTGAGGGAGGCTGTATTTGATCTTCCTGTGTCTGGGATCTCCTGTCTGTCTTCTCCATCCCCTCTCTTTCCTCCTTTCGCCTTTGTACCATCTCTCTCTGTTTCTGCCTTTCTGCTTGTGTTCTGTTGCGGTCGAGATACACGTTCCTGTATGCCGGCATGTCCCTTAATCGTGCTTTCTCCTGCAGGATCCTGTTCCGAGTCGATTCTGCCTTGAAGGTCACTTTCACTGGCCGGGTTCTTTTTTTTTACAAACCCCCATATTCTCCGAAAATTTTCCAGCTGGGTCATGTCGTCTTCTCCTATTGCTTTCATGATGCTTTCAATTGCTTTTTTTTCCCCTTGTTTTCTTGCTTCATATGTTTCCCCTTCAACTTCCTGGAGCCCATACACAAAGACTGACCTCACCCTTTCATTCTCCCACTGCATATCCCTGTGTATCCCCTGATTCAATTTGATTTCCTCCATTGCAGCTTTCCTTTCTTCAGTTTCACTAGCTAATGTACTTGGGCTCAGTGGCCTGTCATTTTCCCTTCTCGGCTTTCCCTGGGCTCTGCTGTGGTCTGTTAGGGCCTCCACATATAGCTTAGCTCTTTCATTTACTACAGTCTCCACTGATTGAGCTTCTACATGCAGTTTTGCTCCTTTCCCTACAGTCCCCTTATTTGTGGCTGAGGTAGCAGTCTCTGTTGTCAATCCCAAAATGTTCTTTAGTTCTTTAGGCTGTTTCAGATTTTTCAGTTCCTCTTCTAAACTCTGTATCCTGGCCTCTGCTGCTTTGACTTGCACCTCCCACCTCCTGCTTTCCATGTCTAACCTCTCTTCCATTCTCATGCTAAGTTCTTCTAGTTTCTTTTCCCATTCATGTTCCCTTTTTGTGAGCTCTGCTGCCCAATCTTCCTTTGCAGTTTCCTCCTCCTGTCCCTTGGTTTTTCTTGTTGCTCTCTGGCAACCCATTTTTGTTTTATCCTGATTGCCTCAGAGTGGGAAACCTATGTAATTCTGTATGTTAGGTTAGTATTGTGTATGTCAGAGTGTGGGGGGGGGGAGGTAGTGGATGAACTGTGGCTATGGGGGAAGGAGGGAGAAGCAAGTGGATGAGTGGGAGAGGGAGAGGGGGAAGGAGAGAGAGGTAGGGAGGGGGAGGGTGAAAGAGGGAGGGGAGGGATCAAGTGAAGGAGTGAGATGTCGGTGGGGAGGGGGGGGAGTGTATGTGTGAGTCTGGCAATGTGTGTGTGTGTGTGTGTGTGTGTGTGTGTGTGTGTGTGTGTGTGTTTGTGTGTGTGTGTCAGTGGTCCTTGATTGGCCGCAACTTCTTGTGACCTGACCCCCACTCTCCTGGGGCTTACCCCACCTACTTACAATGTTGCCCTTAAAAGCTGTGTGTGTGTGTGTGTGTGTGTGTGTGTACGTGTACGTGTGTATTCGTGTGTATTGGGGAGGTATGAGGGGTAGATACTGTTAATACATACCAGTAATTCTGGGTTGTAAAAAGTGGAAATTGCTACTAGGATCTATGAGTGTCTGCCCTTGTGTGTGTATATGAGAGAGGGATGGTTAGGGTAGGGGGATAGATGGTGTGGTTTAAAGATCCGTTATACCTCTCTGTTCCAACTGTCTTTCCTAGAAATGCTACTCTCTCCACTTATTGCCCTCTCTGGATTTAAGTATCAATTATTGCTGGTTATTATCCTATTCCTTGTTCACGTTGAGAGAGGACTTCCTAGCTTCCTAAGTATTATTACTACTAATAACTACTGTAATAGCTTGCAGGAGTGAGTGACCAGTATCTAACAGCGATGCAAAGCCTGCAACATGCAAACCACAAAATATGTGAGTGATACTTGCGCTGGCAACGGTCGTGACAGTTGCCAGATGCTGATGACGAAGTCGTCATACATAGTCCTTAAATCCCTATTTTGGAGATCCTTCACTCGTGTTGATTATAGCCACATGTGCTCATACATCCCTCGTTCCTCACGCGATTTCACTTTTCACTTATGATAGTATACACTTCACATTATATGCACTTCACTTTACATGCATAATGGCACACAACTTGTCGTGACGTCACTGCTTTAAGCAGGCCTACTGCTGCCACCTTCCCTTGTTATATATTTTATTTTTCCTTTCCCCTTTTGCTTATTAACTTTTTCACTCTCACTGTATGGTGCCCCACATTTCACTTGTTAGCCAAACGCTGATAATTCTTGAACAGCCGCTTCCACACTCACTTTGATCTTTGTATGTTTGAATCTGTGTGGCAACAGCGCCTATAGACTCAAAACGGCTTGGCGCTTTGAAATATTGACAATTTCAGCTTCCTCTCGACTATTTTTAACTGATAACTTTAGATATCACTCGTATTATTGTTCACTGACGATGTCACTACCACTGATTACTGCTAGCATTTACTGCACTCCTTAAAAAAACACTAGGGTTCTCGGAGCCTTGTGCACCCACGTCTGCACCCCACGGACCCACGCGTGTGTGTGTGTGTACTCACCTAATTGTACTCACCTAATTGTGGATGCAGGGGTCGAGACTCAGCTCCTGGCCCCGCCTCTTCACTGATTGCTACTAGGTCCTCCCTCCCTCTGCTTCCTGAGTTTTATCATACCACTTCTTAAAACTATGTATGGTTCCTGCCTCCACTACATCACTTGCTAGGCTATTCCACTTCCTGACGACTCTATGACTGAAGAAATACTTCCTAACGTCCCTGTGACTCGTCTGAGTCTTCAGCTTCCAGTTGTGACCCCTTGTTCCTGTGTCCCCTCTCTGGAACATCCTGTCTCTGTCCACCTTGTCTATTCCCCGCAGTATCTTGTATGTCGTTATCATGTGTCCCCTGACCCTTCTGTCCTCCAGTGTCGTCAGTCCGATTTCCCTCAACCTTTCCTCGTACGACATTCCCCTGAGCTCTGGGACTAGCCTTGTTGCAAACCTTTGTACTTTCTCTAACTTCTTGACGTGCTTGACCAGGTGTGTGTGTGTGTGTGTGTGTGTGTGCACGTTCTATATGACTTTCTAGTCATTTTCATTAATATCTCGCCGGATTTATTGAAGAGCTTGTCATTAATAGAGAGGTGGTCAAGAGGTACTGAGTGTCAGTATTGTTGCTGTCAAGTTCTCCTCCAACAGGTGAAGCTCGGCACTTTCCTTCATGTTTTAAACTTTTCACTCATATACATTTTGTAATTTCACATTCTCATTTAGAATTGAATTTATAATTAATATGAACCGGAGACGTCCTATTTTTTTACTTTAGAAAGTTAGTGAAGGCATTGAAAATGTTATAATTCTCATCATAATATCCAAGTCGTATTTCCAAGCCTCCAGCAGCAGCACGTTTCAACATGCTGACTAAGGAACTGCGGCTAAAAATGTTGCAATATAGGTATTTAGTCATGGAATTATCTGGAGGAGACTGTAAGTGACAGTGAAATACAATAACAATGTACAAGTGTGGTGTTAGCAGTGTTTAACACTGTACGGGAGACTACACCTTGATCAGTAGTCATCAGCGGCAATGAAGACAAAGAGGTAATCCATAATTTACATTGTATTTAGTATATATGTAGTGTGTGTGTGTGTGTGTGTTTCAGTAAGACTACCTTATAGTGTTAATGTGGCTGTGTATATATTCCCCAGCCAAGGCTAGAGGCGAGTATAGTTGTTGATTACTGCTGGAGACTCACCTGAGGTCAGCGTCGTGGCCGAGGGCCAGTGAGAATATTGGCAGCTGGTAGATGTTGGCCTCCCGTACGTTCCTCCGCAGTTGGTCCGACCTTGTCTCTCCCAGGTTGGGCTTCCCGTCTGTCAGAAACACCACCTGCAGCACCAGAGGTAGTAGTCAGACACACACACACACACACACACACACACACACACACAGGGTCAGGGGAGACATGATAACGACATATAAAATACTGCGTGGAATAGACAAGGTGGACAAGGACAGGATGTTCCAGGGAGGGGACACAGAAACAAGAGGCCACAATTGGAAGTTGAAGACACAAATGAGTCAGAGAGATAGTAGGAAGTATTTCTTCAGTCATAGAGTTGTAAGGCAGTGGAATAGCCTAGAAAATGACGTAGTGGAGGGAGGAACCATACACAGTTTTAAGACGAGGTTTGATAAAGCTCATGGAGCGGGGAGAGAGAGGGCCTAGTAGCAACCGGTGAAGAGGCGGGGCCAGGAGCTAGGACTCGACCCCTGCAACCACAAATAGGTGAGTACACACACACACACACACACACACACACACACACACACACACACACACCACACACACACACACACACAGGAGCTGTGACTCGACCCCTGCAGACACAACTAGATGCTTACACATCAGAAGCAAAGGTAAACAGTACACAGCAGAAGCACGCCAGGTGTAGGGGTTATGGAATACACAAGTGTAGAGATCAGATACACATACTTTAAGTACAGGCACATATACACTCACAAGAAAAATCAGCACAATCAAACACCGTCACCAACAAAGTCCAAGACCAGAGAGCGAACATAAAGAAATTAACCCGGAAGTGTCAACAATTACACAAACTACTATTATAGTTATTTTACCGTGTTAATTACTAAACCCGTGTTGGTCATTGAAAAACGAAAACAACAGGAGGAATGCATTATAAAACTTAAATAATGGACATTCAGCGCTATATAACACTAAATAAAAGAGCACACACACAAAAGAAGTCATACCAGTAGTATAACAAAGAGTCAGAAATTAAAACATAAATAATACACATGCCTTAAAAATCATGGCAAGAAAATTTTTTTGTAAAAGTTAAGTTCCAGTAGATACCCAGTAGATACCCAGCAGGCACCCAGCAGATACCCAGCAGGCAAGCACCTTAGTAATTGTGAAAACATGAATTCTGGCCAGTCGGAGCAGCGACCAACCTCCTCCTTCATTCGCCAGTACTCTCCCTCTTCAACAAAAAGAACAGAGTGAGCTGCACACCATAAGAGACATACCACAAGCTGCTCCGAGGCAGCAGCACACGTCAACAAGTGATGTTTGAGGTGTCTAAACATAAGTCCACAGAGAATTTCCATCATGCTTGATGTTTGTGAAGGGCTTGTAATAGAAGGAATTGGATCTACCCTCCTCTTCCTTGGATCACACCTGATTACCTCCGCTACCCAGGCGCTGTATTACCTCTACAGGTCATAAATACAGTGAAGCTCTAGAAAGTTGAGAGGTTCACAACTAGAATAGTAGCGAAAGCGAGAAATATGCACTACAAGGCGAGATTAAACGAAATGAATGTAACAGTTTCAAAGAAGAACCAAGGGAGACATAACCACCACGTATAGGATACTCAAGAAGCATGACAGGATAGGTAGAACATAGATTTTAACACCGTGGAAGCAAATGCTGCGCAAAGACTGCAGAGTAAATATGTTAATTGTGTTTTGAAAGTAGCAATCAGGAATTAAGGTTTAATTATCACACCCACAACTCTGAATAACCTGGTAAGTGCTTATATATGTTCAGAACACACACACACACACACAACACACACACACACAACAGACAACACACACACACAACGACACAAAACAACACAATGAAGCTGAAACCAAAACAGCACAGTGGCATGTAGATAGGATTTTCCAGTTAAGAGTTGGGTCAGGAAGTGGAATAGCCCAGCAATGAAGTAAAGGGGGCAGGAACCATAATAGCTTTAGCAGTATACAAAGCTCAGGAAGAGAGAAGACCGTAGCGATAGTGAAGAGGCGGGTCAGGAGCTAGTCTTAACCCCTGACAACCACATTAAGGTAGAGGACACACACACACACACAACTGGTGGGTGGTAGTGAGACGGTAAGTGGTCTAACCTGCAACACAATGTAACACACCAACATGTGTAATGAGATACATTAAGGTGGCTGACAAGCGGTGACAAAGGAACACAGTGTCTAAATCACTCGCAACCTTCCTGCTTACTAATGTAATTGGTAACTTGAATACATACAAGACGAAGCTCTGAGATGTTAACTTTCTTACCGCCGCCGCTTCTTCACTGTTATTGTTAATACTTCTAATAGTTGATGGGGAAGCGCTTTGGAATGTGAGGCATTAATGATGTCTAATCCGAAGGAAGAGTCACTACAAATTCTTGAATGAGGGCGCTTCCCACCTTCAACACCTGTGTAAACACTTACCTTCCTTCAACACACCTGTGTTAATACGTACCTTCCTTCAACACACCTGTGTTAACACTTACCTTCCTTCAACACACCTGTGTTAACACTTCTGCGTATATAGAATGTTGCAAAAGCTTGAGTGCCGGAAATTTTGGCTTTTAAGGGAGTATAAGCATCCAGGCTGCCAGGAGTGCCAGCATCATTGCTGCCAGGAGTATCAGCATTTAGTCTGCTAGGAGTGTAAGCACCAATCATATGAAGCCTGCACACTGGTAATGAAATGTGGACACGGGAAGCCTGGTTAAGAGTGTGCGAGATAGTCAAGGTGAAGCCAGTGTACAAGAGTAGGAAGGTCAGGAAGTGATTGATAAAGCTACCAGAGTCAATGTGAAGCCAGTGTACAGAGAGAGATATCTTGTTCCGCTGTGATTATCAACTTCCTGTTCAACAATACTGTATTAACTTTGAGGTTTATGTTGTATAATAGTAATTGTTATCAACTGAAGACCTAGACCCTAAAGGTTCATACATCGCTGTTGTATACCTCGTAAGGTTTCTAAATAAATTCCAAATGCACATTAAGTGTTTATATGCCTCTGCAAATTACCGTTAATCTACTGCTGTTTACTAACGTGCTCAGTTACCATTAACCACCTTACCTGTTTACGGTTATCTAGTTATTACTCAGCTACCGTTGAGGTTAACCACGATACCTGTTTATGCGTAGTCGCTCACTGTAGCTGTGGTTGTTGTTTGTACTTGTTTAGCTGTGGTTGTACACTCTAACCTGTTTAGCGGTTCCGTGTGTGGCGTTGTGAGCGTTGGCACCAAGCACAGCCTGGAGGAGTGCTTCGTTGAAGTTGGTGCCACCCAGAGCCTGCAGTCTATGTATCTTGCCAACACCTTTCTCCACGTCCTTGGGCGTGGCACGGTACACGCCCAGGGAAGTCACACGTGAAGAGAACACCAGCACCTGCCATACACGTTACACCGTCAGCACCTGCCACACATTACTGTCAGTCACCTACCACACACCACATTGTCAGCACTACCACCTATCACACCGTCAGCATCACCACCTATCATTGATAGATGGTGATGCTGACGACCACTACAGTTAATGCCTACTTACGTAGTTCGTAACTCTACTGCTGCCTCTCTCAGCATCCCATGTCCACACCTACGTGGTTCACATCTTTACTGCTGCCTCCCTCAGCATCCCATGTACACACCGTGGTTCACATCTTTACTGCTGCCTCTCTCAGCATCCCTATGCACACTACGTGGTTCACATCTTTACTGCTGCCTCTCTCAGCATCCCATGTACACACCTACGTGGTTCACATCTTTACTGCTGCCTCTCTCAGCATCCCATGTACACACCTACGTGGTTCACATCTTTACTGCTGCCTCCTCAGCATCCCATGCACACACGTGGTTCACATCTTTACTGCTGCCTCTCTCAGCATCCCATTACACACCTACGTGGTTCACATCTTTACTGCTGCCTCTCTCAGCATCCCATGTACACACCTACGTGGTTCACATCTTTACTGCTGCCTCTCTCAGCATCCCATGTACACACCTATGTGTTCACATCTTTACTGCTGCCTCCTCTCAGCATCCCATGTACACACCTACGTGGTTCACATCTTTACTGCTGCCTCTCTCAGCATCCCATGTACACACCTACGTGGTTCACATCTTTACTGCTGCCTCTCTCAGCATCCCATGTACACACCTACGTGGTTCACATCTTTACTGCTGCCTCTCTCAGCATCCCATGTACACACCTACGTGGTTCACATCTTTACTGCTGCCTCCCTCAGCATCCCATGTACACACCGTGGTTCACATCTTTACTGCTGCCTCTCTCAGCATCCCATGTACACACCTACGTGGTTCACATCTTTACTGCTGCCTCTCTCAGCATCCCATGTACACACCTAAGTGGTTCACATCTTTACTGCTGCCTCTCTCAGCATCCCATGTACACACCTATGTGGTTCACATCTTTACTGCTGCCTCTCTCAGCATCCCATGTACACACCTACGTGGTTCACATCTTTACTGCTGCCTCTCTCAGCATCCCATGTACACACCTACGTGGTTCACATCTTTACTGCTGCCTCTCTCAGCATCATTACACACGTGGTTCACATCTATGCGCCTCTCTCAGCATCCCATACACACTACGTGGTTCACATCTTTACTGCTGCCTCTCTCAGCATCCCATGTACACACCTACGTGGTTCACATCTTTACTGCTGCCTCTCTCAGCATCCCATGTACACACCTACGTGGTTCACATCTTTACTGCTGCCTCTCTCAGCATCCCATGTGCACACCTACGTGGTTCAAATCTTACTGCTGCCTCTCTCAGCATCCCATGTGCACACCTACGTGGTTCACATCTTTACTGCTGCCTCTCTCAGAATCCCATGTGCACACCTACATGGTTCACATCTTTACTGCTGCCTCTCTCAGCATCCCATATGCACACCTACGTGGTTCACATCTTTACTGCTGCCTCTCTCAGCATCCCATGTACACACCTACGTGGTTCACATCTTTACTGCTGCCTCTCTCAGCATCCCATGTGACACACCTACGTGGTTCACATCTTTACTGCTGCCTCTCTCAGCATCCCATGACACACCTACTGGTTCACATCTTTACTGCTGCCTCTCTCAGCATCCCATGTACACACCTACGTGGTTCACATCTTTACTGCTGCCTCTCTCAGCATCCCATGTACACACCTACGTGGTTCACATCTTTACTGCTGCCTCTCTCAGCATCCCATGTACACACCTACGTGGTTCACATCTTTACTGCTGCCTCTCTCAGCATCCCATGTACACACCTACATGGTTCACATCTTTACTGCTGCCTCTCTCAGCTCCATGTACCACCACGTCATTTTAATTTCAGATAGTTAAATTTATTAATCTTGTTTACGTATTTCCCCTCTGCTCTCTCACTGTTCTAATTTTTGTTTAATAAAAATCAGATAGTTGAAAAGTCATTTATTAAAGTAAAAAAGTGCGTGAAATTTTGATCTCATTAACTGAAATTTTTATATACAATATTTTCACGTTTTGTTTTTAGTTTTGAGGATTTTATTAATTACATTTTATTAATAGATGGAGTAAAGAGGGATGTACTGAAACTCTTGCATGTTAATACTCAGTTCTGGTACTCAGTCTTGGTACCCAGCTCTGGTACTCAGTCTTGGTACCCAGCTCTGGTACTCAGTCTTGGTACCCAGCTCTGGTATCAGTCTTGGTACCAGTCTGGTACTCATCTGGTACCCAGCTCTGGTACTCAGTCTTGGTACCCAGCTCTGGTACTCAGCCTTGGTACCCCTGTACTCTTGGTACCAGCTTCGGTACTCAGCCTTGGTACCCAGCTCTGGTATTCACTCTTGGTATCCAGCTCTGGTACTCAGTCTTGGTACCCAGCTCTGGTGCTCAGTCTTGGTACCCAGCTCTGGTATTCAGTCTTGGTACCCAGCTCTGGTACTCAGTCTTGGTACTCAGCTCTGGTACTCAGTCTAGGTACCCAACTCTGGTATTCAGTCTTGGTACCCAGCTCTGGTACTCACCTCGAAGGAGTCCTCAGGCGGCAGTGACCTGAGGATGGCCTCCATGGCCAGTTTGAGCTGCGCCAGCTTACCAAAGTCGTGCATGGATCCGGACACGTCCAGCACGAACACAGTGTGGGTGGGCAGCTTGGGCAGACCCTCAGGACTAAAGTAGTGCACGAAGAACCTGCCCACCAGCTGTGTGTCGGAGAACAGGCACAGTCACTTTGGCACTGGCACTGTCATTGTGGTAGTCACTGTGGTACTGTCACTGGTAGTCACTGGTACTATCACTGGTAGTTACTGTGGTACTGTCACCGTGGCACTGTTACTGTGGTACTGCCACTGTGGTACTGTCAACTGTCAATGTAGTACTGTCACTGTGGCACTGTCGCTGTGGCACTGGCGCTATGGTAGTCACTGTGGCACCCACTGTGACATTCAGTGGCACTCACTGTGGTACTGTAAATGTGGCACCTACTGTGACACTGTCACTGTGGCATCCACTATGACACTATGGCACCCACTCTGACACTGTCACTGTGGCACCCACTGTGGCACTGTCACTGTGACATTGGCACTGTGGCATTGTCACTGACACTGTAGCGGTGGCATTCACTGTGGCACTGTCACTGTTACACTGCGGTCACCGTCACACTGGGTCACCCTCACAGTTACACTGCATCACAGTCGCCATCTTGTACGGCCAAGGTCACTGTCATGGTGGATCGGTGCCACACCAGGTCACCACTTGGTGGTGACCTGGTGTGGTAGTCATGCTGAATCACTGTCATCATCACAGGGGGTTGCCAGGTCACAGGGTTTCCAGGTCAGAGGGTTGCCAAGTCACAGGGTTGTCAGGTCACAGGGTTGCAGGTCACAGGCTTTCCAGGTTACATGGTTGCCAGGTCACAGGACTGCAGGTTACTGAATCCATGGGTCGCGGGTCACAATAAGGTCAAGACTTGTAAGAACATAAGGTCACACCTCTCCTGCATATTATTTGACACTTAAGTCACATCGGTTAGGTTACATTAGAGAGGTTTGGTTACAGAAGTCACACTGGTTACGGAGGTCACACTGGTTACAGAGATCACATTGGCTACGGTCACAATGATTACAGAGGTCACGCTAGTTACGGAGGTCACATTGGTTACAAAGGTCACATTGGTTACAAAGGTCACACTGGTTACCGAGGTCACATACATTTGTGTGGAAGTGTATTAACTGCGAATACTAAGAATAATACAAATTAATGTAAGTCATAAATTAATCTTGATACAATCTAAGTTTGATTTATTAAACTGTTGGTGTCAGTCAGTTGCACAGGCTGTCAGATGCACATCAGCTTACTAAACTTGAGCTGTCAGTTTCTAAGGCAGATATTATTTATTACACAATTATGATAAGTTAAAGTTACGTTCGGTTCATATTTTGGTAATAGTAATGACAGTAATATTTAGAGTAATAATAAAAATATTAATTGCAATAATATTAATAATAGTAATAGTATATGTAATAATAGTTATAGCAATAATAGTAATATTAATAATAATATTAATAATAGTTATAGCAATAATAGTAATAATAATAGTTATAGCAATAATATTAATACAGTGAGTGGAACTACACACATACACCGGAAACTCAGCTAACGATGACACAGTAATAGTGTTAATAGTAATAGTCATTATTTCAGTGAATGTTTGTATATTTATTAATATTTTTGTATTAATGTTAATAATATTGTTGATTACAGATGATGTCTTTGAGGAAGTTTGAAGAAGTGGAGTTTGAGTCAGCAGCACTCAGTGTAAGTCAGCAGCACTTTGTGTAAGTCAGCAGCACTCTGTGTAAGTCAGCAGCACTCAGTGTAAGTCAGCAGCACTTTGTGTAAGTCAGCAGCACTCTGTGTAAGTCAGCAGCACTCTATGTAAGGACCACTTGATAACAACGACCAAACTGTAAGTAACCAGACTAATAACACTCAGTAATATATCTTACAGTCATCTCTCTGATAAACTTCCTCTGTATAATATGAGTTATTTATATAAATGTGACTGAAAAATTTCATTCGGAACTGAATAACATGTACCATGAAGGCCTTTCCACACACTATTCAATTTTGAAATATACTTTTTCAGTCGTATTTAGAAAAAAAATCGAAATCTATAGAGGATCTTTATAAGAGAGCTTTCTGTACATATAAAAAATAGGGAATTACCCCATTTAATTGGTCAAGCAGTTGTTCCTACATGAACCAGAGCACTAAAATGATCACATTTAATGATCACATTCAAAAGTATTATTGATATTTTTTTTTTCAAAATATCTGTAATACTTTTTTTCCAAGTAATTTTTTTGTTTTCGTCATAGAATATATTTTCAGTATTTTAACATTTGGAGAGATGAGAGAGGTGAAGCTTGTGTGATTTATGTTGTCTCTGTATGTTGGTAGAGCTGTCTCAACTCTGAATGTCCCTACATCTAAACATTTCTCTACACATCACCCACACACCTCACTGTATTCCCGTCTTACTGTATCTCACTATTGTATCCCCTTCTTACTTGTATCTCACTACTGTATCCCCGTCTTACTTGTATCTCACTACTGTATCCCCGTCTTATTTGTATCTCACTACTGTATCCCCGTCTTACCTGTATCTCACTACTGTATCCCCGTCTTACCTGTATCTCACTACTGTATCCCCGTCTTACCTGTATCTCACCGCCGTCTACCTCCCTCTGAACATCGTAGGTCATAGATAAGACATTCTGCTCTCTGTCTTGGTCATCTCTGCTGCTGCTGCTGATGATATTACTCTTGTTATTGCTGCTTGGGTTGTTGGTAATAGCGTTGCTTTGATTCATACGAGTGTCACTGTTCTTCAAGATGTAAGTCACTCGCACCTCTTCCAGGCTCGGCGCCTCTTCTTGCACTGTCAGGAAATAATGAAAGAACAGTTTACCTTTCTTTACTACACTCTTTTTTTTTCTTCCTAATTCCGTCTTTACGTCACATAACTGACTATCATAGCTAACTTATTGATAATTCAAACACAATTCAGTATTAAGAATTTCGTTAGTTGTATGTGCAAGCCTAGCAACAGCCTAGCCCAGAGTTGCCTAACAAAGTGTAACAAGTGAGGTGATGGCTAGTAGTATGTACTCTGAGCGTGGGGATGTGGCCGAGGAACATTCAGGAGCTGGAAGTCTCTGATGGGCTGGCTTTCCCTGATCACCACCTCGACCTCCTGGTACACACCCTCCTGTAAACACCCACCCACAAACACACGTTTAATATTGTAATATAACCAGATAACTGTCAACAATATCAAATGAAAATTATAAAATAATAATTGCCAAACTTGGTATATTGCTGAACCGTAACTGATTTCAAAGAAAATATGCCGTTATGAAATTGACCAGAGGATATAATATTAATAATAATAATTACTTTGCAGACATTAAATTTGATCAAAATAAGCAGCATTGAAATTCAGTGATGGTGCTAAATTGTTGAGTATAATGTAGACTCATATTACACTGCTACTGTTCTTATTACTACAACTAACAGTATTACTGACACTACAACAACTACTGTTAATAATACAACTATTACTATTATTACTAATGGTACAACAACTATTCAGTACCATGACTTGTGCAACTTTTATTACTAATAAAACAATTATCATTATACAACTCTGTTATTATTACAACTATTATTATCATTATTATTATTACAACGAACAGCGCTGTATGATTCTTGTGGGTTTAGCGCTTAGTTATGATTATAACAATTATTACAGCTTATTATTATTACAACTATTATTACTACAGCTATTATTACTATTATAGTTACTGCTAGAACTGTTAATATTACAACTACTAGTATTAGATAGTGTGTGGGTGTAGCAGGGTCACACTTACACTGTGTGGTGGCAGGTAGATGGTGTGAGTGTAGCTGCCACGGAACCTCAGCAGTAGTTGCTCGTAGGAGAGGTAGAAAGTAGCAGAGCCCAGAGCATCAACCATCGTTCCTGCCTTGAACTTCTGAGTCTCGTCCTGAGTCCACCTGTCATCACCACTACATATACATATATATATATATATATATATATATATATATATATATATATATATATATATATATATATATATATATATATATGTCGTGCCGAATAAGTAAAACTTGCTATTTTTGGCTTAAATAGCGACGCTCTTACCGAATAAGGCAAGCGAATATTTGTACATGCAATAATTTCGCAAAAATCATTCTGAACCTAACGAAAAAATACATTACATTGTTTATTAAATTATTGTAAACTTGTCTAAAATATATTTAGTTAGAATAGACAAAATTAAATTGCGCTTGTTATAATAAGGTTAGGTAAATTTTCTAAGGTTCTTTTGTTACAAAATTCTTTTTACATTAACATAAATTAAAAAAAAATATATCTAAATGTATAAGAGAAAATTTTAGAAAGGACTTAATTTTAAATGAGTTCTTTCTAATTGACCAGTTTTACCTGTTCGGCACGACATTATATATATATATATATATATATATATATATATATATATATATATATATATATATATATATATATATAATGTATATATATTGTACCCACGAACAAGTAGTATTGATCAATAATAACACTGCGACTAGTCAAGGAGTCGAACCCATGCTGCTTTGGCCTGCCTCATGGTGGGCGAAAACTCATGACGCCTTAATCCACACGACCACACAATCTTGTGTGGTGACTTAAAGCACTCGCCTACAGATGTCTCATAACTTGGGGTGACCAGCTAGAACGCTAACAATGTTACCCACAAAGTCGGTCACATCAGTGACCTTCAAGCATGGTAGTTCTGAATTTCTCATTCTCGTCCTGTACACACTGACCTTTACGAGCGATACTACATTCGATGTACTCCAATCAAACATGATTACCTCCTGTTTCCTTGGTGCTGTGTGACCCATACAGGTTTACCCCTTCCCCGTGAATGCTAAAATAATAACTTCAAGAGAGGATATACGAAAACAGAGAAGGAACCTTGTGTTACTAGCTGCAGGGAGGACACGAGGACACTCCTTAAGATACAAAAGCTGTGCAATAACTATTGCAATAGTTGACAAGTGGACTAGTCTCCAGGAGGAGGCTGTCAGTGTAAGGGAGGAAGCTGTCAGCGCAGGGGAGGAGGCTGTCAGTGCAAGGGAGGAGGCTGTCAGTATAGGGCAAAGGGCTGTCAGTGCAGGGAAGGGGGCTGTCTTCAAGGGAAGAGGTTGTCAGTGCAATGGAGGAGGCTATCAGTGCAAGGGAGGAGGCTGTCAGCCTAACAACTGTTGTATTTAATTCACCCCGGCAAGCCAGTCCTAATTATCAGATCATTGCTTTGTCTAGTGCACCATGCTGGCCTAATAAGACTCATCCAACTTGATGTATTTCTGTGCTTTCTATAGACAAATCTCACGCCAGTATGGCTATGACGAGCTCTACCTCCAGACCCCATCAAAACTACTACGATGCATTATTTAAACATAATTCACATGACTTTATTAAAGACGGGAATCCATGAGCCTAACTGCTGCTATAACCTACAATTACAGATATATTGTGATCAGGACGATCTCTGTGTTTTTCTACTCTATCACAATTATTAATTAACGCGAAATTCTTAGAACTGTAATGTTGCATAATATATGTGAATAAATTATTATTATTATTATTATTATTATTATTAAATAGTAGTATTAGTGATGGTAGTTGAAGAAGTAACAGTAGTGTACTAGTAGTAGTAGCAGTAATAGTGGTAGGTAGTAGCGTAGTGGTAGTTGACTTGCAGTAGTGGTAGTATCGGGGCTCCAGGCGACATTTTCGTAGAACTACTAAGAGTTATTATTTAAAGGCTTCGATATATTCCCATGTTGGTAATATCACAGAAAATACTCTGAGTTGAAGACAAATATTGCTGTGCAAGTATTTTTGCAATGAAGCTTTGAGCGAGAGCTGCTGTGCTGACACTAGCTGAGTATTGTGTAGCAACAATACGAAGTAACCTGGCATTTGTTCTCTAAAACTTTTGTCTTGTTTCAAGGATTCAGCGGCTGTTATATATATATATATATATTATATATATATATAATTATATATATATATATATTTATATATATATATATATATATTTTGTATATATATATATATATATATATATATATATATATATATATATATATATATATATATATATATATATATATATTTCAGTACCAATATATAATAACTTTCATATTAGCAATAATATATTTAATAATATATCCATTTTAAATATATTTCTTATAGTTCAATAGATATTTTTTTATTATTTATTTATATATATAAAATTAATAATTTTTATGTACAAATAGAACCTTAGAAAACTTTCCTATACCTTATTATAAAAAGCAATTTATATAGCTAATCTAACTAAATATATTTTAGCCATAGTTTACAATAATTATATAATAAAACAATAAAATATATTTATATTTCTTTAGTTCAATTACTTTTTTTTTTGCGAAACTCATTCTTTCTAACTTTAGTGCTTATAAATAAGGTGTTGCTATCCCATCTCATATTTATTTTGTAATAATATATTTACCGAACAAAATTCTTCCGCTTCCATGGAATAAGGAAACTTTAAACAAGAACTAATTAGAAAATAAGTAAAACCCATAGATGAAGTTTTATTATGTTGTAAATGTATTTATTTGGCCCAAGACTTTAGTAATTTCAATTAGCAAAAAGTTACCTAAATCTTGCATGTTTATCAATGACGAAAAAAGACACAACAATCTTACCTCTTGTAAAACAATTCACGCTTCCTTTTACACTATTGGCAGGACGGTTATGCTACCTCCTGGATTAGGTTGCTATCAACCTACTACACTGGATATATAAAAATAAATCATATAATATATAAAATATATAAATATATATTGAGTGTATATATATATATATATATATGTAAAAACAACCATTGTAAAGAATAGATGAAATTCCAAGCGCTTTCATGATACTACATTATCAAGAACTATGAAAGAAAGCATCCAAGGAAGTTATAATCTTGGCACAAACCACTATCAGTACCACAACGGTTAAACACCTGCGCGCGCCGACCTAACTGGACAGGTCCTTTGCACAACCCACCAACAAACTATTCTACCCAAGAAAATTTTTAAAATTATTATTTTCCAGTGTATTATTAAATTCTTCCCAAATTCTATTAATTATAAATGGATCTAATTTATATAAACCAAAGGAAATATTCATATTATTGTCAAAACTGCTTTTTATGAAACAAGATTCAATTATATTCCTGTCGACCATGGACTTGCTTGATACTACTTGGTTGATATGCCTTCTCTTCTTAAGACTTTTAATATTAAAGTTGTATTCAAAAATCTTGATACAGTAAAAAAACTTTTGATGAAGAATTCCCCCCAAAATGCTGATGGATGTGTCTATAAGATTCCTTGTAAAATTTGCGATAAAGTTTATTACGGTCAAACTGGTAAAAATCTCGAACTAAGATTAAAACAACATAAATATAGCATTAGAACTGGACAAGATTCCAATGCTCTATTTATTCATGTAAGAGATTTTAACCATCCAATTGATTTTCAAAAAGTTGAGAAAGTAGTATCAATCAAGTCCATGGTCGACAGGAATAAAATTGAATCTTGTTTCATAAAAAACAGTTTTGACAATAATATGAACATTTCCTTTGGTTTATATAAATTAGATCCATTTATAATTAATAGAATTTGGGAAGAATTTAATAATACACTGGACAAATAATAATTTTAAAAATTTTCTTGGGTAGAATAGTTTGTTGGTGGGTTGTGCAAAGGACCTGTCCAGTTGGGCCGGCGCGCGTCAGGTGTTTAACCGTTGTGGGATCTGATAGTGAGGTGTTGGCCAGACCCCTTATATACCTTCCTTGGATGCTTTACTTTCATAGTTCCTTGATAATGTGAGTAGTCACGAAAGCGCTTGGAATTTCTCTATTCTTTCAGAGTGGTTGTTTTGCATATTCTGAAATCACCTGTTTACTGTGATCTTATTGCATATATATATATATATATATATATATATATATATATATATATATATATATATATATATATATTATATATATATTGCAGTAATCGCGAACAAGATATACAATATGCAAAACAACCACTGGGGGGATTGAATGATAGCTCTAAGCCTTTCATGTTGCAATCAACACAGCAGGAGCTTGCAGTGTTGCAGAAAAGAGGAGAAAGTCCAAGCACATACGATCACAGGGAACGCCTTTGCGCTCCCTGTGATCGCAGCTCAGTGCTGTTGGTGCTATGATCTATAACACAGGTTGGTAACTGACCAATAAGTTATCATTTACAAGTTAACTTGTTATTATACAAGAGTACATGTTAACGTGTATATTATTATGAAAACACCCACCAGCACGGATTCATGGGAGGCAAATCCTGTGTCACAAACCTTCTGGAGCTTTATGATAAAGTAACAGAAGTAAGACACGAGAGAGAGGGGTGGGTTGATTGTAGTTTCTTGGACTGTAAGAAGGCCTTCTACACAGTTCCTCACAAGAGACTAGTGCAGAAACTAGAGGATCAGGCGCGTATAATGGGAAGGGCACTGCAATGGATCAGAGAATACCTGACAGGGAGGCAACGAGTCATGGTACGTGATGAGATATCACAGTGAGCACCTGTGACGAGCGGAGTCTCACAGGGGTCGGTCCTAGAACCAGTGCTATTTTTAGTATATGTGAAAAACATGATGGAAGGGATAGACTCGGAAGTGTCCCTGTTCGCATATGATGTGAAGTTAATGAGGAGAATTAAATCAGATGAGGATCAGGCAGGACTTCAAAGAGACCTGGACAGGCTGGACACCTGGTCCAGCAACTGGCTTCTCGAATTTAACCCCCCAAATGCAAAGTTATGAAGATCGGGGAATTGGAAAGAAGACCGCAGAGTATAGGCTAGATGGCTAAAGACTGCAAACCTCACTCAAGGAGAAAGATCTTGGGGTGAGTATGACACCAAGCATGTCTCCGGAATCACACATCAATCAGATAATTTCTGCAGCATATGGGCGCCTGGCAAACCTGAGAATAGCATTCCGATACCTAAGTAAGGAATCATTCAAGACACTGTACACCGTGTATGTCAGGCCCATACTGGACTATGCAGCACCAGTTTGGAACCCACACCTGGTCAAGCACGTCAAGAAATTAGAGAAAGTGCAAAGGTTTGCGACAAGGTTAGTTCCAGAGCTAAGGGGAATGTCCTACGAAGAAAGGTTAAGGAAAATCGGCCTGACGACACTGGAGGACAGGAGGGTCAGGGGAGACATAATAACGACATACAAAATACTGCGTGGAATAGACAAGGTGGACAGAGACAGGATGTTCCAGACAGGAGACACAGAAACAAGAGGTCACACTTGGAAGTTGAAGACTCAGATGAGTCAAAGGGATGTTAGGAAGTATTTCTTCAGTCATAGAGTAGTCAAGAAGTGGAACAGTCTGGCGAGTGATGTAGTGGAGGCAGGAACCATACATAGCTTTAAGACGAGGTATGATAAAGCTCAGGGAGCAGGGAGAGAGAGGATCTAGTAGCGTTCAGTGAAGAGGCGGGGCCAGGAGCTGAGTCTCGACCCAAGCAACCACAATTAGGTGAGTACTATCACTCGTGGTGGTTATAGTTATTATTTTGATAAGAAAATCTGAAAATTTCTGCTGATTCAAGTGTTTGTAATATAAAGAGTTTGGTGGTTCAACTAGCTTACAGCTTCACTCCTCCGTAAAGCAATAAAGGATGACACTAGTGGATGTGAGGGAAAGTTTTTCATCCTATGTAAAGTAAAAGTTTTACACCCCGTATAAAGTAAAGAAGAGAGAGCAGTGTTTCTGGATGGTTGTAGCAGCAGCAGCCTGAGCAAAATTACACAAGTATGAGCAAAATGTTCCATACCGAGTGAATAATAAGTGTGAGTGTAAGATTGTGTGAGAGTATGGGTTTGAGTGTTGTGCTAATTGTTTGTGTAAGGTTAAGTGTGAGGGTATAAATGCTAGGATGAGTGGGAATGAAATAAAAGTATTAGGATGAGTGGGAATGAAATACAAGTGTTAGGATGAGTGGGAATGAGATATACCTACCTTGGTGGAGTGGCTTGCTGAGTGTCGTTATCATGATGTCCTCTTCTACCTCCTCGCTTCCTTGCTTTCACCTCCGTAGTGTAGTTCCTTCCTCCCGTCTCTCTACATCACCGTCAAACATTACATTGATAAACATCATAAAATATTGTTATACGTTGTAATACCCTACACACTCTCCCTACCACCATCCCTCCCTCCAGGATTCACCACATGTTTTTATATACTATCTATTCCCTTCTCTCCTATCCCTCTCTTCTCTTCCACTCTCCCTCTGTCCCCTCCATTCCTGCGCCAGCACCTGTACCTATACTGGGCACACATTGTAGCAGTCTCACACTACACACACTGTAACAGTCTCACACTACACACACTGTAACAGTCTCACACTACACACACTGTAACAGTCTCACACTACACACACTGTAACAGTCTCTCACACTACACACACTGTAACAGTCTCACACTACACACACTGTAACAGTCTCTCACACTACACACACTGTAACAGTCTCACACTACACACACTGTAACAGTCTCACACTACACACACTGTAACAGTCTCTCACACTACACACACTGTAACAGTCTCACACTACACACACTGTAACAGTCTCTCACACTACACACACTGTAACAGTCTCTCACACTACACACACTGTAACAGTCTCTCACACTACACACACTGTAACAGTCTCTCACACTACACACACTGTAACAGTCTCACACTACACACACTGTAACAGTCTCTCACACTACACACAACTGTAACAGTCTCTCACACTACACACACTGTAACAGTCTCTCACACTACACACACTGTAACAGTCTCTCTCACACTACACACACTGTAACAGTCTCACACTACACACACTGTAACAGTCTCACACTACACACACTGTAACAGTCTCACACTACACACACTGTAACAGTCTCTCACACTACACACACTGTAACAGTCTCACACTACACACACTGTAACAGTCTCTCACACTACACACACTGTAACAGTCTCTCACACTACACACACTGTAACAGTCTCTCACACTACACACACTGTAACAGTCTCACACTACACACACTGTAACAGTCTCTCACACTACACACACTGTAACAGTCTCTCACACTACACACACTGTAACAGTCTCACACTACACACACTGTAACAGTCTCTCACACTACACACACTGTAACAGTCTCTCACACTACACACACTGTAACAGTCTCACACTACACACACTGTAACAGTCTCTCACACTACACACACTGTAACAGTCTCTCACACTACACACACTGTAACAGTCTCTCACACTACACACACTGTAACAGTCTCTCACACTACACACACTGTAAGTCTCACACTACACACACTGTAACAGTCTCTCACACTACACACACTGTAACAGTCTCTCACACTACACACACTGTAACAGTCTCACACTACACACACTGTAAACAGTCTCCACATACACACACTGTAACAGTCTCTCACACTACACACACTGTAACAGTCTCACACTACACACACTGTAACAGTCTCACACTACACACACTGTAACAGTCTCTCACACTACACACACTGTAACAGTCTCACACTACACACACTGTAACAGTCTCTCACACTACACACACTGTAACAGTCTCTCACACTACACATACTGTAACAGTCTCTCACACTACACACACTGTAACAGTCTCACACTACACACACTGTAACAGTCTCTCACACTACACACACTGTAACAGTCTCTCACACTACACACACTGTAACAGTCTCACACTACACACACTGTAACAGTCTCTCACACTACACACACTGTAACAGTCTCACACTACACACACTGTAACAGTCTCACACTACACACACTGTAACAGTCTCACACTACACACACTGTAACAGTCTCACACTACACACACTGTAACAGTCTCTCACACTACACACACTGTAACAGTCTCTCACACTACACACACTGTAACATTCTCACACTACACACACTGTAACAGTCTCTCACACTACACACACTGTAACAGTCTCTCACACTACACATACTGTAACAGTCTCTCACACTACACACACTGTAACAGTCTCACACTACACACACTGTAACAGTCTCTCACACTACACACACTGTAACAGTCTCTCACACTACACACACTGTAACAGTCTCACACTACACACACTGTAACAGTCTCTCACACACTACACACACTGTAACAGTCTCACACTACACACACTGTAACAGTCTCACACTACACACACTGTAACAGTCTCACACTACACACACTGTAACAGTCTCACACTACACACACTGTAACAGTCTCTCACACTACACACACTGTAACAGTCTCTCACACTACACACACTGTAAACAGTCTCACACTACACACACTGTAACAGTCTCTCACACTACACACACTGTAACAGTCTCTCACCTACACATACTGTAACAGTCTCTCACACTACACACACTGTAACAGTCTCACACTACACACACTGTAACAGTCTCTCACACTACACACACTGTAACAGTCTCTCACACTACACACACTGTAACAGTCTCTCACACTACACACACTGTAAAGTCTCACACTACACACACTGTAACAGTCTCTCACACTACACACACTGTAACAGTCTCTCACACTACACACACTGTAACAGTCTCTCACACTACACACACTGTAACAGTCTCTCACACTACACACACTGTAACAGTCTCTCACACTACACACACTGTAACAGTCTCACACTACACACACTGTAACAGTCTCTCACACTACACACACTGTAACAGTCTCTCACACTACACATACTGTAACAGTCTCTCACACTACACACACTGTAACAGTCTCACACTACACACACTGTAACAATCTCTCACACTACACACACTGTAACAGTCTCTCACACTACACACACTGTAACAGTCTCACACTACACACACTGTAACAGTCTCTCACACTACACACACTGTAACAGTCTCTCACACTACACATACTAACAGTCTCTCACACTACACACACTGTAACAGTCTCTCACACTACACACACTGAAACAGTCTCTCACACTACACACACTGTAACAGTCTCTCACACTACACACACTGTAACAGTCTCTCACACTACACACACTGTAACAGTCTCTCACACTACACACACTGTAACAGTCTCTCACACTACACACACTGTAACAGTCTCTCACACTACACACACTGTAACAGTCTCTCACACTACACACACTGTAACAGTCTCTCACTACACACACTGTAACAGTCTCACACTACACACACTGTAACAGTCTCTCACACTACACACACTGTAATAGTCACTTACACTACACACACTGTAACAGTCTCACACTACACACACTTTAACAGTTTCTCACACTACACACACCGTAACAGTCTCTTACACTACACACACTGTAACAGTCTCACACTACACACACTGTAACAGTCTCTCACACTACACACACTGTAAGTCACACTACACACACTGTAACAGTCTCTCACACTACACACACTGTAACAGTCCCTTACACTACACACACTGTAAGTCTCACACTACACACACTGTAACAGTCTCTCACACTACACACACTGTAACAGTCTCTCACACTACACACACTGTAACAGTCTCTTACACTACACACACTGTAACAGTCTCACACTACACACACTGTAACAGTCTCTCACACTACACACACTGTAACAGTCTCTTACACTACACACACTGTAACAGTCTCACACTACACACACTGTGACAGTCTCTCATACTACACACACTGTAACAGTCTCTCACACTACACACACTGTAACAGTCTCACACTACACACACTGTAACAGTCTCTCACACTACACACACTGTAACAGTCTCTCACACTACACACACTGCAATAGTCTCGTACACTACACACACTGTAACAGTCTCACACTACACACACTGTAACAGTCTCTCACACTTCACACACCGTAACAGTCTCTTACACTACACACACTGTAACAGTCTCACACTACACACACTGTAACAGTCTCTCACACTACACACACTGTAACAGTCTCTTACACTACACACACTGTAACAGTCTCTCACACTACACACACTGTAGCAGTCTCTCACACTACACACACTGTAACAGTCTTTCACATTACACACACTGTAACAGTCTCTTACACTACACACACTGTAACAGTCTCTTACACTACACACACTGTAACAGTCTCTCACACTACACACACTGTAACAGTCTCTTACACTACACACACTGTAACAGTCTCTTACACTACGCACACTGTACCAGTCTCTCACACTACACACAGTGCGCCAGTCTCTCACACTACACAGTGCACCAGTCTCTCACACTACACACAGTGCACCAGTCTCTCACACTACACACAGTGCACCAGTCTCTCACACTACACACAGTGCACCAGTCTCTCACACTACACACAGTGCACCAGTCTCTCACACTACACACAGTGCACCAGTCTCTCACACTACACTCAGTGCACCAGTCTCTCACACTACACACACTGCACCAGTCTCTCACACTACACACAGTGCACCAGTCTCTCACACTACACACAGTGCACCAGTCTCTCACACTACACACACTGCACCAGTCTCTCACACTACACACACTGTAACAGTCTCACACTACACACAGTAACAGTCTCTCACACTACACACACTGTAACAGTCTCTCACACTACACACACTGTAACATTCTCTTACACTAAACACACTGTAACAGTCTCTCACACTACACACACTGTAACAGTCTCTCACACTACACACACTGTAACAGTCTCTCACACTAAACACACTGTAACAGTCTCTCACACTACACACACTGCACCAGTCTTTCACACTACACCCACTGTAACAGTCTCACACTACACACAGTAACAGTCTCTCACATTACACACACTGTAACAGTCTCTTACACTACACATACTGTAACATTCTCTTACACTACACACACTGTAACCGTCTTTCACACTACACACACTGTAACAGTCTCTCACACTACACACACTGTAACAGTCTCTCACACTACACACACTGTAACAATCTCTCACACTACACACTGTAACAGTCTCACA